CATTACTTTATTAATTTTATGACGCCTTTCCATATGGAATAAATCTCAGTTCAACCAATTCATCAAACGATGGTGTTTTTAATGCTTTCAATAATGAAGATTAAATAAATCTTGTAGTATCAGGGCAAAGTGATTCAACTAAAATATTAAGCAACTATTAATACTATATAATGAAACTCTTATCTTTTCAGAATATGAAATTTAAAGTGTTGAAATTAATACTAATAACAGATGAAAATTTTTCATAAATAATTATTAAATTAATGATATTATGACAATATTACATTCTTTTATTATTTAATTAAAATAAACATGTAGATTATAAAAAGATAATTATAAGAATAAAATATATTAAAGAATATGATAATGAAAATTTATAATTAAAACAATCACAGTATTTATCCAGTTATTTCTTCTTAGATAATCTACATTTTGTTAAGTTTCTTAATAGATTCAAGTCTTTCATATGGGACATGTTATCTAATAACATCTAGATCGAATTAAATTTTAGTGTTTTTCGTTAATGTTGAATACCAATCCATTTAATTATTGTTTAGTCCTTAATATTTACATTCTTGAATATATATTATGTTGCCAACTTTGAATTATTCTTCTTTCTTAATTGCAAACTAATTTTTTAGTTTTAATTCAACTTGAGTTATTCCATCTTCTTTTAAAATTCTAATTATCTTTTAAGGATAAGACCTTTAATGATAGTTAAGTTCACCAACATCTTCTATAATTCCTAAAATATTTGAATATGGTTCTCTCATAGGTTAAATATTCAATTCTTCTTAATCAAGTTTACTTAGTAATCTATAAGTATTATTCTAAAAAGGAATACGTCTTAACACATTCTGTTCAATTTCATAATTTCTAAATCTGTACCATCTTCCTTTTCTAAAAGATTTTTAACAAGGACCTTTAACCCATTCTAAATAAACAAATGGGATATATTTTTGAGCAAACCTAAATTTTAATATTTTCACAGTTCTTCCTTGTTAATCTTTTATTTCCTTTACGGTATTTATATAGCCTAAATAAAGAGGGTTTTCCATTTTATTATATATAATATAGATAATGATGATGCTTTTTGTTTGATAGATGCTTTCAAATTGATTTTTGACATTTTTTCGTTAAAATCTCAGAATTCTATTAAAAATAGTCTTGTTACTCATTTGAAAATTATTTAAATCAAAGTTAACTTTATAATACGCATTATCACCAAGTTTATAAACCTATTTGATTTTTAGATAATAATTAATTAAAAAAGTTATTGTAATATTTCCCTCCATGGTTGGAATTTAAAAAGAAAAAAACAAGAGAGGTAATTATAGGAAAGTTGCCCCTGAAGATAAAGAATAAATAATATTCGAATTAATAAATGGATTTAAATCTGCTTCAGAATTATCAAGACTATATGGTATCCCCATATCAACGATTAAATCATATCTAAAATCGAAAGAACTCATGTACACTCCATTAGTATAATCTATTTCAGATTCATTATATTAATCAGTTGACATGTGGTTTTAAAATTTAAATGAGATGAAGGATGATAAAGAAAGAAAAAAGCTTATTAGACGATATATAGTAAACGAAGAATTGTTTTAATATAAAGATACTAACCCATTTAAGAACTAAATACCTCCCACTAAAATATTTTCTAAAAAGTCGAGGATTATCCAAGAAGTTATTGACAATGCTATAAGTTATTTTAATGATTTATAAAGATAAGGTAATGCATTTTTGAATTAAATAGATCTAGTTTATAATACTAACTAAATAGAATAAGACTTATACAATACTGTTTAAGATTAGATTGAAATTGAATACGTTTAATAAACTTAGGAAGATTAAAGCTAACAGAATAATGAAGATTAAACCTAATAAAATCTAACTATTTAACTATTTGATGAAAGCCAAGTTAGCTAGTTTTCCATTTTCTTGCGGGATTCCAACTTTGATTGATGATTTTTTATAAAATATCAAACACGTAACACAAAAATTTTTATCTAAAAATAATATTTTTCGTTATGAAATATAATGAACAATGAAGAGTAATGATTAAAATCCAATATGAGAATTTTAATTTTAGAGTTTATTATTTATATTCAATTTTATTCTTATAAATTTTTAATACTAAATTTTTATAAAATTTATATATTTTTGGTTATAAATTATAATGAGCGAAGAAGAGTAATAATTATAATCTGGGAGTGGAATAAAATAGGAAGCAGCAATAAAACATAGAAGAAAGAAAGAAGAGATAGAGAAGGATTTCATTTGTGGAGACCCTAATTGTGGAAGAAAATATGGGACAAACGCTGCATTGTATACTCATATAAAAAATAAACATAATGGTGTACCCCCTGTAATGGATTTAGATTTTATTTAGATAGACTGGAACAGTAAAACCTTCAACATCAAAAAAGACAAAGGAATAAACTCCAATAATAGAATAGGTAGATGATGAATTAAGCAAATCAGTGGCTACTATGAATGACCCTGATTTTATGAAATTTACAATTATGATTAGTAATTTAGGTCATTTTAATGATAAAAACATCATCGTAAGAGATGCATAAGAGCCTTGTTTTTAATTGGAGGAAGAAAAGTTATTGGATTTGTATGAAAAAGTATTTATAAAAATTTATGTTAGATTTTGAAAGGAAGTCGATTGATTTCGGAAACACAAGGGAATTCTGTTTTTACTAAGAAAGCCGAGATGTATTTAAAATTTTCTTCTCCTATTTGGAAAAAGCACATAATAAATGAATTGTATACTGTTTTGATTTACGCTTATATATTTAGAGGAGAAAATTTTGATAGTAAAAATGATCGTTATGGTTAGCTATTGAAAAGGATATAACAAGTAATTTGGCTAGCTATAAATTATTTTCGGAGTTGATTAAACAAGACAAGGTGGATTAATTTAGAGAATTATACACTACAATCTGGAATTTCATCATTTGAATAAAATTGTATAAATATAAAAATTATTACAAAAATATCAGTTATGATTCCAAAAAAACAATAATCAAGACAAGAAGCAAGAGCAAAAGTGGATTCAGGTTTGAACAGAGTTTCAAAAAAAGATTAGATATAGAAAAGACCAGAATCAGCTGTTTAATAGTAATCGGTATTGTTATTAAAATATCAGTTAGGGTGAAAAAGAATAAGAAAGTGAATAAAACTTTGCATACTAAACTGCTATTTAAGATAAAATGAACAATATAGTTTAAGATTACTTATTAAAGCAAAACTTCTTAAAGACTTTGGAATAGTTCGAAAATGAATCTTAATATAATAATCAAAGAATTGGTAATCAAAAAGAATATTAAATGCTATAATATTTTGACAGGGGAGACAGAGATAATTTTTTAAGGTTATGGAATTAACATATACCATAAAATAATAAATAAGATTATGAATTATGGAAATTGGAATTTTATATTTAAATCTACTTTTTAATTTATCCAATTCATCCATATTTATCAAAGAAAGGATAGATAGATAAATAATCGATCAATGCATTTAAACAATTTCTTGATTCAAAAGGTATTAAAATTAAAATTACATCATTTTAGGAGAAGATCTGTCGAAAACTAATGAAGTACTTCCATTTTATGCTTTACCATATGTACAATAACCTTAAAAGCATTAAACATTTTAACATATATTTACTACTTAATGGGTAGAAGATTTAAAAGAACGTTTAAAAGATTTTACTTTATCAATATTTTAAAATGAATAAATTACTCACTTGTAAAAACTAGTTTAAAATTATGAAAATTCACAATAACAAATTTAGCATAATAATATTTATTAAGATAATTCTAAAGAGCTGAAAAGATTGAATGATTAGATTTAAAAGTTACAGAATGATAATTATGAAATTAAACAAAAGTTAAATCAACAAGTTTAAGCATATCAAGAATTGAACAATCATGCTGAAAAAAACTTTACTGAAGCATAATAAAAATGGTTTTCTCTTTGTAAAGAATTGATGGTCGTTTCAAAAGATTTATAAAAATATCTAGACAACAATTAGTCGATGTAAAATTAATAGAAAATCTAAAATCTAAAAAAGAAGCTTTTATAATATGAAAAATTCCTTAATCAAGACTTTGAAGATTTAATAAATAAATCATAAGATATTTCATTATTTGAGAAGGCTAGCATGGCTGAATAAGAGATTTCACATATAACTAATAATTAATGTAAATATAATTATTTAAAGAAATTAGAATTACCAACTCCAATCAAACCAATTCATGTAGAAGAATATGTTCCATTAAACTATCCTAAAATAATTTAGTTATTTACAAAATCTAATAATTATTAGCATGTAGCAAATGTTTTATAGGCTTTGAGATGGAGAATTACTAGAGCCAAAAATGCTCTATAGAGAAGATAAGTGGTTGTTGCTTATGCAACTCATGATATAATAGGAACTCACTCAAAAAATATATTATTAGCTTAATATTTAATTTTAAAATCTCACAATTTAATTTAATGTTAAACTTTAAAATTACTAAATGCTTTAGCTTCAGATTATCATGGTAGATCCTATTTAACTTTAAATCCAACATTAATTAAATTTCTGGTGGATCTTATTAAAAAAGAATAATCTGATAGTCTTATAAGAAAAAATGCTATCGGAGCTCTCTAAAAAATGTCTTTAAGAAAACAAAGTTAAACATTTATGCTTGAAAATAACATAATTTATCATACATTGATAATTTTAAAGAATGTAAAATAGAATACTATATTAGGAATAAAATAATCTAAGTGAATATACTTATGAATATATTACTGCTCTTATTATGAATTTATCATTAAGTACTAGAGGAAAGGATGAATTAATTCAGCATAAAGAATTAGCATTTGAAGTCTTATATGATCTTATTGAATATCCAAATGATTAAATAAGAACTTTCACTAATGGCACATTTTATTCATTGTTCAGCAGAAAAACAATTAGAGATTATGCTTATAGTCTAGGAATACCATAAGAATTACCAAGATTATTAGAAAATTCGGATGAAAAGTTCAAAAAATAGATTCAATATATGATTGCTTAGTTATAAGCTGACGAAGATGATTATGATTAATCATAAATGGAAGAAGAAAATGATGTTGATGATATTGAAGAAGAAGAAGAAGAATGTATTGGAGACGATGATGAAGAAGATGAACTAAATATTTAAGATAATATAATAGGAGAAGAATTATTATCAAAAGATTTTGAATTAGTTGGAGATGAAGCTGAAAATCAAAAATTAGTTATGGATTCTATCATTTTAAAAGAAGTCTAATAAAGAAATGCATAATAAGAATAAATTAGAGAATCTCAATTAGAGAAAATGCCTGTTGGATGTAATTCTTTTTTCATTATTTTTTAGAAATTCCTTTTTATAATGATACTAATGATAAAAAATCTTATTAAAAAGTGCAATAGTTTCATAATCAATAAAAGCAATTAATTCAAGGATAAGGACAATAAAACATTAATTATAATGATCTATAAGAATTTGCTCCTAAACCAAAAATTCCTAGAACCCCTCCTGGGGCCTCAAAAAAATGATAATTATATTTTTATATACTTAAAAATATGAGTTTGTGGAATAATCTTACTCAAATCTTCATTTTCGATTGTACATAATTCTATAAAGATACTATTTTTTTCATTACGTTTTGTCTTGATACATCTTAATAAAAATCCAATTTTTTTATAAAATATTTGTTAAATTAATTTATAACAAATTCTATTTTTTTTATAGCAAATTAATCAATTCTCCCATTCAAAGCTCAATATATTGTTTCGTATAAATCTATTAATTAATTGATAAATCAAATGCTCCTTTGGCGCATTTTTATTAAATCTTCTACTTTTTTTTTGCTATATTGTTAATTTTACCCTTATAAATTGTTATTACAAATCAAACAAGTTTCCAAATTACCTTTTTTAAAATTTTCATCGCATCTCTCCTTTTAATTTATACAAACTGTGCATAAATGATCCATTAAGATATTCATAAGATTTAATAAATTTTATAATCAAAAATATCTATTTAAAATATTTTAGAAAATATAAAGAAATTTTCACAGAAAGTAACATAACCACATTGTTATTTAGTATAACCCAAATATTTAATTTTCTCTAAATATTGAATAAATATGAAAAATTATATAGAAAAAAGTTGCTATAATATATATTATTCTTCTAAAAAAAGAGATTTGGTCAATTATTTTCTGAAAAATCAGACCTTTGAGAATCAAATCATTATTGAAATAACTAATTTTTTATCATTAACAAATTTATCAATTAAAATTATTTCTTTTATAAATTTAAACCTAAAAGTTTCTATAACAAAACTTTTAATCATTTAAAAACAATTAAATTAGAGATTGAATTATTTTTCAAAGACAAATTATGTTTTTTTAAAGTTCAACTTATAATATTTATATATTTTATTTTTTATCATATTGATAAAGTCTAAGAAAACCTAGAACTATTAAAAAAAACTTGATTTAATATATTTTATAAATGCAATTTTAATATCCATAGATAAAACATCATTATATTTATTTTTTACATGGTATACAATGCATCTCTTCTTTCTTTCTTCTATGTTTTATTGCTGCTTCCTATTTTATTCAATTTTATAAAAATTTAGTATTAAAAATTTATAAGAATAAAATTGAATATAAATAATAAACTCAAATCTAAAAATTCTAAAACTGGAAGTCGTTTTAAAAAGCTTGACATTCTGAGAAATAAAAATAATATTCATCAGATAGTTAAATAGTTAGATTTTATTAGGCTAAAATTAAATCTTCCTAATTTTATTAGGATTATTCTATTGAAATATCATCTTAAACAGTATTCTATATTTCTTATTCTATTTATAAAGTATTATAAATTGGATCATCTATTTTCTGTTCAATTTAATTCAAAAAAACCATACCTTATCTTTATAAATCATTAAAATGACTTATAGCTTTGTCAATAACTTTTTGGATAATCCTCGACTTTTTAGAAAATATTTTAGTGGGAGGTATTTAGTTCTTAAATGGATTAGTATCTTTATATTAAAACAATTCTTCGTTTACTATATATCGTCTAATAAGCTTTTTTCTTTCTTTATCATCCTTCATCTCATTTAAAGTTTAAAACCACATGTATACTGTAAAATATAATCTGTCGGAAACAGATTACATTAATGCGGTATATATGCGATCTTTCGCTTTTAGATATGATTTAATCGTTGATATGGGGATACCATATCGTCTTGATAATTCTGAAGCAGAACTAGTTCCATTTATGTATTCGAATATTATTTATTCTTTATCTTCAGGGGTGGGTTTCTTATAATTACCTCTCTTGTTTTTTTCTTTTTAAATTCCAACCATGGAGGGAAATATTACAATAACTTTTTTAATTAATTATTATCTAAAAATCAAATAGGTTTAAAAACCTTTTGCTACTACGTACTATATCAGAATTAATAAGAAACAAAATTCTAATAGAATTCTGAGATTTTAACGAAAAAATGTCAAAAATCAATTTGAAAGCATCTATCAAACAAAAAGCATCATCATTATCTATATTATATATAATAAAATGGAAAACCCTCTTTATTTAGGCTATATAAATACCGTAAAGGAAATAAAAGATTAACAAGGAAGAACTGTGAAAATATTAAAATTTAGGTTTGCTCAAAAATATATCCCATTTGTTTATTTAGAATGGGTTAAAGGTCCTTGTTAAAAATCTTTTAGAAAAGGAAGATGGTACAGATTTAGAAATTATGAAATTGAACAGAATGTGTTAAGACGTATTCCTTTTTAGAATAATACTTATAGATTACTAAGTAAACTTGATTAAGAAGAATTGAATATTTAACCTATGAGAGAACCATATTCAAATATTTTAGGAATTATAGAAGATGTTGGTGAACTTAACTATCATTAAAGGTCTTATCCTTAAAAGATAATTAGAATTTTAAAAGAAGATGGAATAACTCAAGTTGAATTAAAACTAAAAAATTAGTTTGCAATTAAGAAAGAAGAATAATTCAAAGTTGGCAACATAATATATATTCAAGAATGTAAATATTAAGGACTAAACAATAATTAAATGGATTGGTATTCAACATTAACGAAAAACACTAAAATTTAATTCGATCTAGATGTTATTAGATAACATGTCCCATATGAAAGACTTGAATCTATTAAGAAACTTAACAAAATGTAGATTATCTAAGAAGAAATAACTGGATAAATACTGTGATTGTTTTAATTATAAATTTTCATTATCATATTCTTTAATATATTTTATTCTTATAATTATCTTTTTATAATCTACATGTTTATTTTAATTAAATAATAAAAGAATGTAATATTGTCATAATATCATTAATTTAATAATTATTTATGAAAAATTTTCATCTGTTATTAGTATTAATTTCAACACTTTAAATTTCATATTCTGAAAAGATAAGAGTTTCATTATATAGTATTAATAGTTGCTTAATATTTTAGTTGAATCACTTTGCCCTGATACTACAAGATTTATTTAATCTTCATTATTGAAAGCATTAAAAACACCATCGTTTGATGAATTGGTTGAACTGAGATTTATTCCATATGGAAAGGCGTCATAAAATTAATAAAGTAATGGAAGTATCATTTTTAAATGCTAACATGGAGATTTAGAATGTTTTGGAAATAAATTATAAGCATGTGGTTTTAATGTACTTTCTGCTTAAAATGAGCAACTTAAATTTTTGATATGTATATAGAAAACGAGAAAGAGATAAATAGAAGATTTTGAATCTGAATTAAAATCTTGTCTTCCTGATTTATGGGAAGGAGTTTTAAAATGTGCAAATGGTACTTAAGGAATAGAATTATTATGGGAAAATGGAGAAGAAACTCTTAACTTGGATCCAAAATTAACATACGTACCTTGGGTAACAGTAAATCATAAATTTGAAACTAAAGCTCATGAAATGATTGAAAGAAATATTGTTTAATGGGCATGTTATAGTTTTAATTAAAGCATATTAAGAATAAAATTGATATTGAATATTTATTTCAATCAAACGTTGCTTTCCAATCTAGACATTTTTTTATATAATCTTAAGAAGTCGTTTATTTATATTTTTTAAGTACATCAAGAATATCAACCTAAATTACAATCAATTTTACATTTTTTAAGATAGGTTCTTAGTATTGTTATTATATTTTCATTTCTTATTTCCTATCATTCTCAACATTCTCATAAGCTTATTAAAGAATATTGAAAATATCACAACTTGTGTATCCTTCTAATAAATTTGCTAGTTTTTCAAACTACACCAAAGTTAGATTATTTTTCATGTTTGAAAACTTTTATTTTAAAAATTCTTATATTTATTCATTATTTGGAAATGGTATATAGATTCTTTTAGAGAATCTAATTTTTTTATCAAAAAATATTACCTTCTTCTGACTGAAGGTTCTAATTTCCAAGGATAACTCGTTATTCCAATGACTTAAAATTATGGAAAAGCAGCTGATTTTAATTTATCTAATACTATTAATAACTCAGTTATGATATTCATATTATTTCTATTAATACTTAAATTTTAGTTTCTTAATTAATCGAGGTCTTAGAGTAAAATTATACAGGGTTACATCTTTAAAGCATAATTAAAAATCTATTAAAAATATCCAATAGGTTTATCAAACTACTTTTTTATTAATTACGATATTGATAAATTTATAAATGTTGAGTTAGTAATTGAAGCACAATATTCAACTAAATATTTTTTGCCAGAATTAGGAGGCTTAGATAATGATAATTTTTACTCCATATAGAAGAATTTTATCAAATATATGATAACTGTTTGCAAATAATTAAGGAAATTTAAATGGAAGAGCTACTTCTTTTAGTATACTTCTAATAGATTCAACTATTAATATAGAATCATCTCTAACATTTGGTTTTTCATTTACTTAAATGCAATCTTTTGTCATTTAGTTTAAATACCTAATTTAATAAAATCACCAATTTCATTTGTTGCATTAAAATTTTAAATGAATTATAACTAATTAAATTTATTGAATTAATTTTTATAGTCTTCAATATCTAATTTTAATTAAGATTGTGACATTTTAGATTTAAGTTGTTCTTCATATTTGATAATATATTCACAACCATATTTTATTTTCTCATAAGCAAAAATCTTAGCTCTTAAATCCTGACTAGAAAGGAATTCCATTTTGCCTAATAAAATTGTGTGATACCTATTTACATTAATTCTATGGCATGCCCTATTTTCTTATTTATTTCACTAGAATTCATAATAAAAATATTTTTATTTATCTATTAATTATAAATTATATTTTCAATTTTAATCAAGTTAATCAAAAATATTAAATGGTTAAACAAAATTTTATTATGGAACTTCTTGTAATTAATTTAATTAAGAACTTGAATCTTCTAGATTTCTTCTTTATTACAGAGATGTTGTTTAAATAATTTTTAAACTTGTAACTCTTTAAATAAAATTAGAGTTTTAATTTTTTTTATTTTCTGGACTTGTATCTGTTTATTTTTAAATCATTAATCTTTAAAACTCCTCTTCAGTAAAGTTCAATCTACAATATGGGCAATTTTTATTCTTTTTAAACCTTAACATATATTTTAAGATAATTTACCATTCAATTATACATTTATCATGAAAAGTATGATTACAAGGAGTTTCTCTCACAATATCATTTTCTTCATAATTTACAAGACAGATACAACAAAAGTCATTCAGCATTTCCACTTAAGCCTTTTTAGATGGCATATATTTATCTAAAATTTCTATACCAATCTCTGGAATATCTAGAGAAAGCACTTTTAATTATCTTCTAAATTGGATCGCCAAGTAAATTATAATCAAAATTGCTAAAACTATTACTCCAATTATAACCATAATCCCCCAAATTGGGAAAACATCTTCAGTAATTATTTCCTCTAAGGATAAGTTGATTTCTGCCTCTGATGTTTGATTAAAATTATAGAAACCAATTATTAGCACTGATTCAGATTCATTTCCTTATCGTTTTAATTTCACTTGATAGATGTATTCTTAAGGTATCAAATTAAAGTAAGAATTAAAAGAAGGTAGCTTTGTAGAATGAGAAATATTAAAAGGAACCAATGACACTCCAACATCTGATTTGCCATTTTCTATTAATAACTATTTAGAAAATTATTAATTACCTAATATTCAGCCTATTCAACTCTATAATAAAAATAAATCCAGCTCTTTCTGCCCACTGTAATTTTAGTATTCGGAATTTACTCTGATCTAAGTTATTGTGAACAATTTAATGAGTAATAAGGAAACTTACATTAGTTTTAATTAAAGCATATTAAGAATAAAATTGATATTGAATATTTATTTCAATCAAACGTTGCTTTCCAATCTAGACATTTTTTTATATAATCTTAAGAAGTCGTTTATTTATATTTTTTAAGTACATCAAGAATATCAACCTAAATTACAATCAATTTTACATTTTTTAAGATAGGTTCTTAGTATTGTTATTATATTTTCATTTCTTATTTCCTATCATTCTCAACATTCTCATAAGCTTATTAAAGAATATTGAAAATATCACAACTTGTGTATCCTTCTAATAAATTTGCTAGTTTTTCAAACTACACCAAAGTTAGATTATTTTTCATGTTTGAAAACTTTTATTTTAAAAATTCTTATATTTATTCATTATTTGGAAATGGTATATAGATTCTTTTAGAGAATCTAATTTTTTTATCAAAAAATATTACCTTCTTCTGACTGAAGGTTCTAATTTCCAAGGATAACTCGTTATTCCAATGACTTAAAATTATGGAAAAGCAGCTGATTTTAATTTATCTAATACTATTAATAACTCAGTTATGATATTCATATTATTTCTATTAATACTTAAATTTTAGTTTCTTAATTAATCGAGGTCTTAGAGTAAAATTATACAGGGTTACATCTTTAAAGCATAATTAAAAATCTATTAAAAATATCCAATAGGTTTATCAAACTACTTTTTTATTAATTACGATATTGATAAATTTATAAATGTTGAGTTAGTAATTGAAGCACAATATTCAACTAAATATTTTTTGCCAGAATTAGGAGGCTTAGATAATGATAATTTTTACTCCATATAGAAGAATTTTATCAAATATATGATAACTGTTTGCAAATAATTAAGGAAATTTAAATGGAAGAGCTACTTCTTTTAGTATACTTCTAATAGATTCAACTATTAATATAGAATCATCTCTAACATTTGGTTTTTCATTTACTTAAATGCAATCTTTTGTCATTTAGTTTAAATACCTAATTTAATAAAATCACCAATTTCATTTGTTGCATTAAAATTTTAAATGAATTATAACTAATTAAATTTATTGAATTAATTTTTATAGTCTTCAATATCTAATTTTAATTAAGATTGTGACATTTTAGATTTAAGTTGTTCTTCATATTTGATAATATATTCACAACCATATTTTATTTTCTCATAAGCAAAAATCTTAGCTCTTAAATCCTGACTAGAAAGGAATTCCATTTTGCCTAATAAAATTGTGTGATACCTATTTACATTAATTCTATGGCATGCCCTATTTTCTTATTTATTTCACTAGAATTCATAATAAAAATATTTTTATTTATCTATTAATTATAAATTATATTTTCAATTTTAATCAAGTTAATCAAAAATATTAAATGGTTAAACAAAATTTTATTATGGAACTTCTTGTAATTAATTTAATTAAGAACTTGAATCTTCTAGATTTCTTCTTTATTACAGAGATGTTGTTTAAATAATTTTTAAACTTGTAACTCTTTAAATAAAATTAGAGTTTTAATTTTTTTTATTTTCTGGACTTGTATCTGTTTATTTTTAAATCATTAATCTTTAAAACTCCTCTTCAGTAAAGTTCAATCTACAATATGGGCAATTTTTATTCTTTTTAAACCTTAACATATATTTTAAGATAATTTACCATTCAATTATACATTTATCATGAAAAGTATGATTACAAGGAGTTTCTCTCACAATATCATTTTCTTCATAATTTACAAGACAGATACAACAAAAGTCATTCAGCATTTCCACTTAAGCCTTTTTAGATGGCATATATTTATCTAAAATTTCTATACCAATCTCTGGAATATCTAGAGAAAGCACTTTTAATTATCTTCTAAATTGGATCGCCAAGTAAATTATAATCAAAATTGCTAAAACTATTACTCCAATTATAACCATAATCCCCCAAATTGGGAAAACATCTTCAGTAATTATTTCCTCTAAGGATAAGTTGATTTCTGCCTCTGATGTTTGATTAAAATTATAGAAACCAATTATTAGCACTGATTCAGATTCATTTCCTTATCGTTTTAATTTCACTTGATAGATGTATTCTTAAGGTATCAAATTAAAGTAAGAATTAAAAGAAGGTAGCTTTGTAGAATGAGAAATATTAAAAGGAACCAATGACACTCCAACATCTGATTTGCCATTTTCTATTAATAACTATTTAGAAAATTATTAATTACCTAATATTCAGCCTATTCAACTCTATAATAAAAATAAATCCAGCTCTTTCTGCCCACTGTAATTTTAGTATTCGGAATTTACTCTGATCTAAGTTATTGTGAACAATTTAATGAGTAATAAGGAAACTTACATTAAACCTCTTATTATGGGGACTCTATTAAATATAGAGAATATTTGAATTGTCGAATATCTTCTATTAAATAATTACATATTTTTTAGTATAAAACATTAATAGCTATTTCATCTGTCTTATTTATATAAATGCTTTGGAATTCAAACTTCTATTGAAATTAGTCTTAATTAATAATTGTAGAATTTCTGCCATCTTATTTACTTTCCACTATCAATTATAATGAGAATCTTTGATCTTTTGGAAATTCAACAATTTATAACTTTTTAGATAGAAATTTAACTGATACCTAAATTAAATAGAGGCTTGCTTGATTTAAAGTAAAACTCATATTGTTAATTTCTGTGATATAACTGTTGTTAAAAAGAATCTGCTCACACTTAAAATAATGTATTATCAATAAAAATAACATTATAATTATTGAATTATAAAAAGAATATTAAATTATTCACAAAAATATTTAGAAAATTCTACGTGTCATTTGCACTTGATATAATATAAAATAAAAGAGTGATTATTAATTTTATGATGATAAATTAAATTGGAATAATTTTTTTCAATGTGGCATTTTTAAGTCCCATATTAAGCTCTTTTAAAGGATCTATTTCAAAGTTTTATATATATCAATAGGAATCTTTAAAATTTACATATATTTAATAAAAATAAACCAATCAATTTTTATGAGCAATATAAAGTTATATAATTATAGAAATAATTAGATTACAAGAAGATTAGAATAAAGTGATTTAAGATCGGCTTACAAAAGAGTCATGTTAGAATACCATCCTGATCGTAATACTTAAATTACGCCAGAATAATTTAATTTTTTTAAAAATATAAATGAAATATTGAAATAAAATGAAGCAAGATTATGTAATGAATTTGTTTATTTTAGAATTTGAACAATTTGGCATTGTTGAAGAAAATAATATCAACCCACAACCAGCAATATTATATATAGAATAAGGCTAACAAGATTATTCTTTTGTATGATTTTATTTTTGATAATGTTAGTGAAAACTTAAGATAAGAAGAAGGATTCAAAATAATTGACAATATTGGTTTAATTTTAGGTCATATAGACTTTTAGTTATATGAATAACCATAATATTTTTAAGAATCCAGTTTTTTTGTATCATTAGCGTTTTTTCAATGTTTATAGTGTCTGTCACAATCATAATNTATTCTTTTTAAACCTTAACATATATTTTAAGATAATTTACCATTCAATTATACATTTATCATGAAAAGTATGATTACAAGGAGTTTCTCTCACAATATCATTTTCTTCATAATTTACAAGACAGATACAACAAAAGTCATTCAGCATTTCCACTTAAGCCTTTTTAGATGGCATATATTTATCTAAAATTTCTATACCAATCTCTGGAATATCTAGAGAAAGCACTTTTAATTATCTTCTAAATTGGATCGCCAAGTAAATTATAATCAAAATTGCTAAAACTATTACTCCAATTATAACCATAATCCCCCAAATTGGGAAAACATCTTCAGTAATTATTTCCTCTAAGGATAAGTTGATTTCTGCCTCTGATGTTTGATTAAAATTATAGAAACCAATTATTAGCACTGATTCAGATTCATTTCCTTATCGTTTTAATTTCACTTGATAGATGTATTCTTAAGGTATCAAATTAAAGTAAGAATTAAAAGAAGGTAGCTTTGTAGAATGAGAAATATTAAAAGGAACCAATGACACTCCAACATCTGATTTGCCATTTTCTATTAATAACTATTTAGAAAATTATTAATTACCTAATATTCAGCCTATTCAACTCTATAATAAAAATAAATCCAGCTCTTTCTGCCCACTGTAATTTTAGTATTCGGAATTTACTCTGATCTAAGTTATTGTGAACAATTTAATGAGTAATAAGGAAACTTACATTAAACCTCTTATTATGGGGACTCTATTAAATATAGAGAATATTTGAATTGTCGAATATCTTCTATTAAATAATTACATATTTTTTAGTATAAAACATTAATAGCTATTTCATCTGTCTTATTTATATAAATGCTTTGGAATTCAAACTTCTATTGAAATTAGTCTTAATTAATAATTGTAGAATTTCTGCCATCTTATTTACTTTCCACTATCAATTATAATGAGAATCTTTGATCTTTTGGAAATTCAACAATTTATAACTTTTTAGATAGAAATTTAACTGATACCTAAATTAAATAGAGGCTTGCTTGATTTAAAGTAAAACTCATATTGTTAATTTCTGTGATATAACTGTTGTTAAAAAGAATCTGCTCACACTTAAAATAATGTATTATCAATAAAAATAACATTATAATTATTGAATTATAAAAAGAATATTAAATTATTCACAAAAATATTTAGAAAATTCTACGTGTCATTTGCACTTGATATAATATAAAATAAAAGAGTGATTATTAATTTTATGATGATAAATTAAATTGGAATAATTTTTTTCAATGTGGCATTTTTAAGTCCCATATTAAGCTCTTTTAAAGGATCTATTTCAAAGTTTTATATATATCAATAGGAATCTTTAAAATTTACATATATTTAATAAAAATAAACCAATCAATTTTTATGAGCAATATAAAGTTATATAATTATAGAAATAATTAGATTACAAGAAGATTAGAATAAAGTGATTTAAGATCGGCTTACAAAAGAGTCATGTTAGAATACCATCCTGATCGTAATACTTAAATTACGCCAGAATAATTTAATTTTTTTAAAAATATAAATGAAATATTGAAATAAAATGAAGCAAGATTATGTAATGAATTTGTTTATTTTAGAATTTGAACAATTTGGCATTGTTGAAGAAAATAATATCAACCCACAACCAGCAATATTATATATAGAATAAGGCTAACAAGATTATTCTTTTGTATGATTTTATTTTTGATAATGTTAGTGAAAACTTAAGATAAGAAGAAGGATTCAAAATAATTGACAATATTGGTTTAATTTTAGGTCATATAGACTTTTAGTTATATGAATAACCATAATATTTTTAAGAATCCAGTTTTTTTGTATCATTAGCGTTTTTTCAATGTTTATAGTGTCTGTCACAATCATAATTTCATACTTTTTACCGAAATCAGAAATTAGTAATTAAATAGAAATCAGCAATCAATAAGTTAGGATCAAGGAGCTGTTAATTAATAAGAAAAAGAGCATGAAGAATCTGATTGAATTAAATATTCATTATCAATTATATTCTTAACATGCCTCAATTTGAATATATTTTTCTTTTTCTTTGTTTGCAAATTAACATGCCCATTAAACAATATTTCTTTCAATCATTTCATGAGCTTTAGTTTCAAATTTATGATTTACTGTTACCCAAGGTACGTATGTTAATTTTGGATCCAAGTTAAGAGTTTCTTCTCCATTTTCCCATAATAATTCTATTCCTTAAGTACCATTTGCACATTTTAAAACTCCTTCCCATAAATCAGGAAGACAAGATTTTAATTCAGATTCAAAATCTTCTATTTATCTCTTTCTCGTTTTCTATATACATATCAAAAATTTAAGTTGCTCATTTTAAGCAGAAAGTACATTAAAACCACATGCTTATAATTTATTTCCAAAACATTCTAAATCTCCATGTTAGCATTTAAAAATGATACTTCCATTACTTTATTAATTTTATGACGCCTTTCCATATGGAATAAATCTCAGTTCAACCAATTCATCAAACGATGGTGTTTTTAATGCTTTCAATAATGAAGATTAAATAAATCTTGTAGTATCAGGGCAAAGTGATTCAACTAAAATATTAAGCAACTATTAATACTATATAATGAAACTCTTATCTTTTCAGAATATGAAATTTAAAGTGTTGAAATTAATACTAATAACAGATGAAAATTTTTCATAAATAATTATTAAATTAATGATATTATGACAATATTACATTCTTTTATTATTTAATTAAAATAAACATGTAGATTATAAAAAGATAATTATAAGAATAAAATATATTAAAGAATATGATAATGAAAATTTATAATTAAAACAATCACAGTATTTATCCAGTTATTTCTTCTTAGATAATCTACATTTTGTTAAGTTTCTTAATAGATTCAAGTCTTTCATATGGGACATGTTATCTAATAACATCTAGATCGAATTAAATTTTAGTGTTTTTCGTTAATGTTGAATACCAATCCATTTAATTATTGTTTAGTCCTTAATATTTACATTCTTGAATATATATTATGTTGCCAACTTTGAATTATTCTTCTTTCTTAATTGCAAACTAATTTTTTAGTTTTAATTCAACTTGAGTTATTCCATCTTCTTTTAAAATTCTAATTATCTTTTAAGGATAAGACCTTTAATGATAGTTAAGTTCACCAACATCTTCTATAATTCCTAAAATATTTGAATATGGTTCTCTCATAGGTTAAATATTCAATTCTTCTTAATCAAGTTTACTTAGTAATCTATAAGTATTATTCTAAAAAGGAATACGTCTTAACACATTCTGTTCAATTTCATAATTTCTAAATCTGTACCATCTTCCTTTTCTAAAAGATTTTTAACAAGGACCTTTAACCCATTCTAAATAAACAAATGGGATATATTTTTGAGCAAACCTAAATTTTAATATTTTCACAGTTCTTCCTTGTTAATCTTTTATTTCCTTTACGGTATTTATATAGCCTAAATAAAGAGGGTTTTCCATTTTATTATATATAATATAGATAATGATGATGCTTTTTGTTTGATAGATGCTTTCAAATTGATTTTTGACATTTTTTCGTTAAAATCTCAGAATTCTATTA